TGGTGGGACTTCTTCCTCCTCAAAATAAGCAGGGGTTTCAAGTTGTGTTCAGGAGGTTCAGATGCCAGTTGGGCAGATTAGTATAAACATGGCAAAAATCTGTTGAGTACCTGGCTCCTTGCCAGCCAACTACCACCTCTCAGTTGGGTACATCTTTTGGAGCCATTGGCTTTGAGGCAGATTTTACAAACTAAATGCATTAAGGCAGAGTCCCCAGTAATAATAATTTGTACAGTTTCTTGCATCCTCTTGACTCCTCTTCTTTCCCCTTCATTCTCATATTTATGGCTACATTTGTAGAATATGATACAAGGTACTTGAGAGAGAGAGAGAGAGAGAGAGAGAGAGAGAGAGAGATGGGGATGAATTGTGTAGCAAGCCTTTTACATAGGAGGGAAACAAAAATGTTTTACTGGTCACCAATGAATATATGTCTTGCTGTGCATGTGAAATAATGCCAACCAGATGGGGGTGGGTTGGCTTGGTACTAGCATTTTTCTTGTACGTCTTTGGCAGAGATGGTCAGCCTGTGGCAGGCATGCCGCAAGTGGTACTGTACCTGGCAAGCCAGGGAGGGGACATGCAGCACAGCGGCACATAGGACAAAGAACAGAAAGCAGAGCCGTGGATTGAATAGGGAACAAACAGCAGATTGGGCAGGTGAAGAGGCTTAGAGTAGCACTCGGGGAGGGTGCTGGGCTAATTTTCTGCTAAACAGGCTGCCCACCCCCTTCCCCCTGATTTATGGAATTGTTTCTTAGTATGCTTTTCTGGAGAGAGGGGTTATATTCTGACTCGGTCCTGTAATTTTGAAACCAGATTATTATGGAACTCCCTGGGCTCCCTCTGATTGAGGATTAGCACAAGGTTCTTGGTACTCTTGCTTCTTCTGGGATTGCTCCTGGATGGACTTGAGTCAATCAGCCTCCTCTCCTGGGACTGACTACCAAATAGCCCATATGTGCTACTTCATGTAACTGTTGAATTGATGTTTGTCAAGAACAGTTACCTTCGATGGCTACTTTTCAGTGGTGCAGTTGCTACCCTCTTCCACCTCTTTAATCTGCTTCACTCTGTTATCTCCTCTGTGTGCGGAGGGCAATTAGCACCTGCTTTTCAGTTTCAAGAAACTAGGTTTTAGGCCCACATTTATTCATTTTCTTACTAATGCAGATTGAATAATCAGGCTTGAAAAATCAGGAAAGCTGGTGTCAGGGTAGTAAATTTTGTCAGCAAGGAATTTTGTAACTCCAAGGGACTTGGATGTACTATGGAGTCAAGGTGCTATTGGTAAATAAAGCCATTTTAAATAATTGTCTGGGATTCAGTCTTGGCTGTCTTAACAGATCTGGCATTTTATAGCATTAGATAATCACCTGGCATCATTTTATGAATTAGCTGGTCCACCTTTCTTTTTCCAGTGTGCCAGCTATCATGTATTGGAGGTGTAGTTGCTATCAGCTTTCTGATCCAGTGTAGAGCTTTTTTCCCTGAAGTGACTTACAGACTAGAAGCATTTTAAAGCATTTGGAACATTTTATATGCAAAACATCATCAAGCTTTAGGTTTACTGTAATAACTGTGCAAACACTGTGCATGTCAGAGAATCTTCTAGCAGTGTTTGGTTAATCTCTGCTCTAACAGTGAAATCCCCATGATAGGTGGTTGGTGATTTCAGTCCTGGTAAGTGAGAAGAACTTGGATTCATTTACCTTGATGTGCTGCCAGTTTATGGATTTGCTGGCACACATCCAACCTGTTACAGCCCTTTCCAGTGCATGACTACAGTATGTTGGAGTGATCCCATGATGCGTAAGGAATGTCCAGGGTAGATTTCTACTGTGTGAGAAGAACAAGTTGTCATGTCTTGCTCTTCAGCATTAGAAACTTATTTCAAGCTGTTTGATCAGCCGCATAATATTGGGCATTGGCTAAAATGCATCATGATTCAGGGCAATAAAGAGGATTTTGAGTAGCATAATCTTGCTGTTAGATGCAAAGAAACTTATCACAGTGTGGATCATGCCTTTAGCATCATTTAGGTGCAAGCACAAAGGCCCAGCACTTGGTTTCATTGAGGCTCTGCTTTAGGAGTTTAGGCTTAACAAACTGGTTTAAAACGGGCGATGTTTTCTTGCTCAAGCAAAAAGGGTATTAAGGCTGCCTGCAAGCACAAAAAGAGTGTGTTTTATTTACTTAGCTCTTTTATGGTAAAGTTTCCATCTGCCTTTTAAGTTAGACAGAGACCAGCACAGTAGCATGCCAGAAGTGGTAACATGCTCTGTATTTGGTGTGCTATTGCATAGCATTTTCTGTTTAAAGAACAATGGGAAGCAGGTAAATTGCAGTACTGACTAAAGCTTTCCCTTGCATGTGGACCCACAAGGTGCCTTCATCTTCCATCTTGACTGCATCATGGAAGTCGGTGGGAAATCATGGCGAATTTATCTTGTATTATATTACAACGCATGTCTAAAACAGTTAAAGCATTTTATAAGACTATTGGAATGCTGGCATAGTTCAAACAGCTAACCAAATTGCCATAGGGAATGAAGAAGAGGCTACTCTGCAATGGATTGACCCAACAGGAAGTGAATGTACTGCTGCAAATCATATATGAAGCAGGGCAAATATATTCTAAGAGATTATTTAGAAATCCTGCAGCCACTTCCAGAAGCGGCATGGCTGCTTTTGCTGGTGGCTCCACTCCCTGGCCAGCGTGCTCGGCGGGGCACCAGCACTCCCACCTGACCCCCTGTCTGTCGCCTAAACAGGGAGCGTGGCCTGATGGGGTGCACCAGTGCTCTCGGGGGATCCATGTGCACCCCCTGTGCATCACCACTGGTTTACTTGATTCTTCATCCAAACTATTGGCACTTACTGAATATTGTGTGAAACATGAGCAGTACCTCCCCTATTTTTTCCTGGTAAGGACAAGGTTTTAGGTTTATTTGAGTTACCCATACCTCCAGACTGTTAATAGGAAAGTATTCAGCTGTTGCAGTCCCTAGTCTGACTCCTGCAAGGATTTCAGGCTGGCTTCAGAACTGGAAATTGTTCTTAGGCATAGGCTTCAAGTGGTGGGTAAAACAGGCAGTTGGGAGTCTGGAGACATTGTTTTTGATGTCATAACTGATTTGTTACGTAACTTTGGGCCAGTTCCATAACTTCACTGTCTCTCAATTTTTGTAAAATGGAGATGACAATGTTCATGCATATTTCAGTAAAGCACTATGGACTGGGAATAATGGCTGAGAAGCACTAAGTGATGTCCTTTATGATAGGCTATTGTTTGAGAGCTGTGGGGGATCTAGGTAGTTGCAGAACTGACTTTAGTCAAAGGCTAATGGTCACAGTCAAGACATGATGCTACTAACTTTTAAGTGGGTGAACCACATGAGCAGGCAGGTCAGGGTAGCTGGTGTGGGGAAAGAAGAAGGGTGTCATTAGATCTAATATTAAAAATTGTGGGAGTTAACAAGACCTGTATCAAACCTCATCAGCATTATATATCTGTTTAGGACAGTAGTTTTCAATTTTTTTTTTATTTTTATTTTTTTTAGACCCAACCCCACCCCCAATTAGTTCTAAGGCACCATTCAAAAAATGCCAGCTTTTAATTTCCCCTTTTTCTGACTACAGAAAAGTAATGAGCAAATCTTCTGTTGCAGAGCACTCTGAAAGACCAGACTAGGTCAGGATGTTTTAACACTATGGGTTCCTATTTGAAATATGTGGCTTTACTTTGTGAATCACATTTGTTCACCTGGAAGTGCTAATGTTGTGTGGGATTGCAAAATTCTCTAGAAAGGCTCTCAAGGCACTGCAGGGTGCTACAGCACCCTGGTTGAGGTTTGCTGGTCTAGGAGATGCTTTCCCCTTCATTGTTCTTCTTTTCTTTGCCCTAAAGAGCGTACAATCTTAAAGACTTTATTTTATGGTGAAAGAGACTACCAAACTCTGTATAAACCATACACACTCGGACCTCATAATCAGTGTGAACATCTGTGACATAGATGGGAAGACTTGAGTGCACTTTTTCTGAGGGCTGCCAGGACAATTCATCTGAGCCTGTGGCAAATGTTGTATATGTGGAAGCATGATGGGGAGGGATGGAAAATGGTGCTGTTTCTTGTGCGTTGCTCCACATTCTCCTTTTAAGTGCATGATTTGAGCTGATTTTGATGGTCATGGTTTGAAGTTATTTAAATGGGGTTCCAGGTACTGTAAAGTTGTATTTTATATGCCATCCTGCCATCTTGTGTGCAAGGGGAGGGAGTCTATACTAGTACAGTGGGTCTGTTCATCTGTTGTTTTTTGGAGCCCTGAGCTTGCACTTTCTGTACATCCCAGGCCTTAGGAAAGCATAGGCTTGATTTATTTTCTTCTAAAAAAAGTAGGGTCAGTTTGGATAGTGTTGCTAAACGTGCAGCAGCAAGAAAAACCTTGCACAGCAATGCTAATTCATCGTTTGTGAGGCAGGCTGCAATAATGTGTAGTGCACAGTGCAAGCTATTTTCTGCTGATTTGAAAGCTCTTGTGCTAACCTCAGAATCCTTTGAGCACAGCCCTGACAGTCGCATGCCCCACGTAAGTCCCTGGTTCAGTAAGAAATCTCTACATGCTGACACTAATTCTGGACACATTTCCTGGGTTCCCCCATTTATTATCTGTAGAACTGGAAATCTCCCAGCCCTTGTGATATGGAAATGTGAAGGAGACAACAGGATCAAAGTCGCACCTCAAACTTCAAGCCCTAGTTTGAATAGCTCTGCAAGGTGCCTTAGATTTACTTGAACACCCTTTTAAATCAGTGCCTTTAAACATCTTTGTATTAGGGAGTCTTTACGTGTGGCACAAATGGATGTTGTTTACCTCGCAGTTCATTTCCTGTTTTTGTAAAGCACCTAACATATCCACGGCAGATAGGAAACCTCACTAGCACATGCCTTTCTTGCCAGATGGGTCTGTAATCTTATGTGGTGGCTTATGTTTTTTAGATTCTGAAAATGAGACCATCGCTGAGTGACACGTGGCCAGCTCAGAGGCAGTGCCAAGCACACGGTCCTACTTCAGCTAAGCGGGAGGAAGAGGAAGCTGTGAAATGATGTCGTGCAAGCAATTCTGTACTATTCTGGTCCGCTCTTCACAATTTTGTAACTTCTTTCTAAGCATTTTTTATTAAGAGTTGGAAATACAGAAATGTTATGCAAAAATAAAGGAAAAATATTTTGGGGGAAACAGATTTTGGTCAAAAATGGTTCTCTTCTCTTAAGTCCTAAGAACTGAGGTGCTGGGAACAGTTTTGGGAGAGGGGGAGGTATCAGACTTATGTTTGAATTCTTTCTGGCTCATAGTTAATTGTAATTAAATTAAGTCTTTTCCAAAAGGGAACATTAAATTTGTTCAAATTCCATTAGAACCAGAATT